TAGGTTTGTTCCTTCTAACTTAATCAGCATTCACAATGTAGTCTTAAGGGCTTTGAGAGTTTTGGTTAGGGGGAGAATTTGTGGGTCACAAGTTTGATACGTTATCACTTGTGTGAACCTCCCATGTATTCCGAGTGAATTGGTTGAAGTTATTTCTCTCTATATTTTGTACTCTCATGTTTATATAGTGGATTGCTCGTCTCCTTTGTGGACGTAGGTCGATTGACCGAACCATGTTAAATCTTTATGTCTTTGTATATTTCTCGTTTGTCTTCTTACTCATGGTCTTTCGAGGTTTGTTTTGCTAGCTTCCGCGTTACACCTGCTTATTTCGGTCCTAACACATATCATGATACGTATTATTCGTTTTGGTCTAACAAACTTTTACGAATTTGTGTTTTGGACTGCATGATAATCAAAATTGGAAGTTTTTAATCTTAACCATGTGAACTTGTTCTCTACGTTAGTATGTAATATTATATTACATTTTTATTTCCCCTTCCTTGTTCGATTCAAAATTTGTTTCAAGTGTCATATGCATATGCACCCCTTTTCTAAAGCTTTCTTGTGTAGAAGTCTGTCATTTTTTCTTTCTTTGATCCGCTCATTATATTTATGATATCGATCCTCAATTATGATATATATCACGTCCAATATAACTTAACATAGAATTATAATTTAATTTCACGGATGAAATCTAAAAAGGATGGTTATATACAGATCTTACCCTTCCTTTTCTGTGGTATAAAGACTGTTTCAAATAAACTTTCGAGTTCCAACTCAGGAAAATAATTTTCTAGAACAACTTTAAAAAAATGTTATAATAAAAAGTTGTGATGAAAATAATGACCAACGAAACAACAAAGCTCATCGTGAAGTCAAATTGCTGTAGGGTAGACAAGAATTGAGAAACACCAAGTGTCCACTCTACTGTTCATGACATTAAATTTTAGTTGAAGGGGGATAACAAGAAAATCAAGATACTATTCCAAGTAATCAATTAGTACATGTGGACAAGACAATTACCCACATTTTATGCTAATGTTTTGACATATTACACCACAAATAATGTTATTATAAGTAGTACACTTTGTATATACAAAGATTTGCAAGAAAATATCGTGAGATGTCAAATTTTAATCTTCAATCGTTGAGGTTTGAATTTGAACAAGTCAAGCATAATTATTACGATAGTCTAAACTTCAGCCCAAAAATATGGAGTTGAGAACTGACCAAACCTAAATTCGTATCTCGAACAAAATTCATCTAATTCAAATTTTTAGTATGATTGAAACTCAAATTTTAAAACTATATCCATGGCAAATTAATATGTAAATCGAATTTCATCGTATTTTACGTGATATTATTTGGGCCTCTAAGAAACTTACAAAAGCCCATATTATTGGGCTACATTTTATTTCATTTGGACCAGCCCATGTATTTCAATGTTCTTTAAGCCTGCATTTTGTCTATAGGGTGTCATGCTATGCCATTTTGTCCATTTGAGGAATTGACACAGACATACAACTATTATATATAGTTGGCAATATATGGTCCAAATTAATTAGCAATTAATAGCCTAAAATAAAATTAGCACGTATTAGCCTAAAAGAAATAAAATCAACTTTTTATAGTTTTTTTCTTTTAATCATGTGCAACCAACCCGCATTAATTAAGGAGATGTGGGATTGTTTTTTCTTCCTTTGTTTTTAACTCCTATAATTAAGGAAGTTAGCTTTTCAATTTCTTTAAATTCTCAAAATCAACTTTATTTAACTGTCTATTTAAAAAAAATATATTAACGCAATTTACAGAAACATAAAGATATAATTGTAATTTTATGAATTTTTTTTACCAATCAACAATACTTAGTTTATTTGAAAACTGATTGCCTACTTTTAAGAAGTGAAATATATATATTTATTAATTAACCCATTAAAAAAAGGTTACACCAACTTTTAAGGAATGAATTTTTTAAAAATTCTTTAAATAACTTATTAAAAGATTGTGACTATTTTTAAAGTAAGAAAATGTATTATTACTGCTCTAATGTGTATTAATTATCACATAATCGATAATAATTAATCATATAATATTAAATGACATTTTATTAGAAACTGTAATAATACATATGCATAAATTATGCAATAATTAAAGTTGTGATTACATAATGTATACATAAAAAAAATATGTATTCACAAAAAAATATTCATAAAAATAGACGTGTAAATTTTATTGATGTATACAGTAATTGTAGCATGTATACATAAACTTTATATTGTATACATAAGAACATTACCATCAATTATACGTAGTAGTTATTACTATAATGAATACAAGAATGAGATTAATATGATACATATATAAATTTTATTCATTAATTGTGCATGTGATTTTGTTTATGTATATGGTAACTGCACTATGTATACATTAGTTCGTATTCATCGTGTATTCAGTGATTTGTATTCACATAATAAACTTGTATACTTTAATTTAAATTGAGATTGGAATTCATTGGTATACATTGGGTTGTATTTATCAAAATCAACATTCTGATTTTTTACGAAGATCTAATGAGAATCTTTCTTACCCATGAAATTGAGAACAAAAATTTCAAAAAACTATTACTTGAATTCTCGCCAAAAAAAGTTATAAAAACTTTAGTTCCACAAATCACGAAATTTCAAAATTAATGGGGCAAGAATGCTACATAATTATATATTAAAAGAAATTATTGGAAGGATCAATAGATAAACATACAGTTATATCTGATTTGCATAGACAGAGTTAATTAAGGAGAATAAGAGAAAATTTAGAAGAGAAGCAAATATACATATGAAAAGGATTTTAGAAAGAAAACAAAAGAAGGTTGAATAACCTAAATTTTCGCAAAAACTTCAATTCTACAAATCATGAAATTCACAATTAATTTGACAAGAATAGGATTATATATAAAGATGATTTTTAGAAGTATCCAGGAAAAAACATATTGTTATATCTGATTTTCATAAACAGATTGAATTAAGGAGAAGAATTGAAAATTAGGAAGAGAATCAAATATACGTATGAAAAGAATTCTGGAAAGAGAAAAAGGAGACAAAAAAGAGAAGAACTCTATTTTAAAACTGTTGACAAAATAATAATAAAAAGAGATAAAATAGGAATAATAAAACAATAATTGTTTTTTCAAGAAAAAAAAGCAGCAATCAAACGTGTGTTTGAGAAAAATAAGGAGGACAAAAATACATTTTTAAAAAAGAAAAGAAAAATAACAATTCAATGCTAAATAAATAAAACAAAGTTTTTTTCTTGCTAAAAAATTAAAAATGAGCTATTTATTGCTAATTTAGTCTATAGGGTGTCATGCTATGCCATTTTGTCCATTTTGTGATCACCATTTATCATAGTTACTCATTTAGCTCACTGGTAAAGAAAAAAGATGATAATATAGAAGATTTTTTTTTAAAAAGGTCAAATTACACATTTAGCCAACTGGTTTAAAAAGAAAATCTCTAATTAACTAGCAATTTTAGTAACAATGATATAATTGTCTCTATATTATATATATCGAGTTATCGACAATAACTAATAAGTGTATTTATAACCATCACTCTATATAAATGACACAAAGGCTTTAGTGACTTTTGTTGTTGCGAATATATATATTTGTTGACTATTATTTTGATAGACGCTAGTTATATCAATTTGTGCTTAAAAAGGGACATGAATTTTTAAATATTAGAGTCGAAGTTGTGAAGTCGATCCACGTTGATGTTGATGTTGTGAAGAAGTCAAATATGATATTTTTTGTTCCATAATAATTTGATCCATTTTCTTATTATGTTTTATAATTCTTTAATTTATTGTGTAAATATTTATATATTTGATCGATATATTCTTTGTTCAAGTAGAACAAGTCTACTATTGTTTAAAATTGGATAAGATTATAAATAATAGCTGGTTGATTCCACAGGGTAAATTTTATTGTAGGAATTTGGATCGTTAATAATATTTTTGATAATTTTATTATTAAAAATAATTACGGCGTGTGATGAACACAAATTATTTTTTCCCTATAATTATCTTAACTTTTAATGTCCAACCTAATTTTAATAATTTTGTGAAATGTTAAAGTATATTTAAATACATTCTATTAGTTTTTTAGATTAAGTTGTTATACAAAATAATTTTTATTTTCCAAGGAATATTTTGACTTTTTAGCCTAAAATTAGTGGAATGTACCAATTAAGATGTTGTAGAAGAAGTCTTCCTCCGACAACTAACGCTAAGACCATTAATATTAGATTTAATCGAGCTTCAATGTAAATAGAAAAGTTGAATGAAAAATATTTTTAAAAAGAAAAAATTCTTTTTTAAGTTCATTTCAATGTGTATGTAATTATTGTTGTTAAAGTTCGTTTAATTAAATAAAAATAATCCAACATAAACTTTCTGAATAAGTGGTACAATACTATTTGATTGGTTGTCTAAGAAAAAGTTAATTGCCACACAACTTAATTAATTGATACACGGTTTGGTTAGCCATATCAAACTCCGGACAATTACTAATATTTTGATTTTCACTAACTAGATTGAAAGTATTAGTACTTATATTAGTTATGAGGAAAATATATATTTGTATTTTTTTGTGCTCGATAAATATAAAATAATAAAAATATACATATTAGCAATACATGATAGGTGTATATAAACAATCACCACATAACAATTTCTATTATTATTATCCACCAACATATTCTTTGTACAATTCTCCGTAAACACCTTGATAAAGACAATTGAAAATTGAGAATGAAATCAAGAATTGAAAAAAAAATCTAAGAACATTTATAAACATCTTTGAATGACCAAAACAACATATTGAAGATATAAACACGGAATCAGAATTTTAATTCTAAAAACTAAATTTTAAACAAATTAAATTACTAAATCTAATTATCAAATTCGTAGCTTTCTCTCTAGTTCGATGTATGCCCCGAATATCACATAATAGAGCAAGTTGGACTTTCGGAAGTGTCATAAACGGGTTGACATATTGGATAGTATTGCACACATGGATTGCATATTGAAGGACAAGGACAAGGTTCCTTGGGTTTATCTTCGGGCTTATTCTCTTCGGGCTTCTTCTCTTCGGGTTTTACTTCTTCAATACTCACAATTCGAGAACACTTGAATTTCCTTTTTATGCAATGCATCAACCTAAAGAAATCGACACCAATTCCTATCACCACCAAATGATCGTTTTCCTTATCTATATTCACTGATATCACCCCTGCATGATCATCGATGATCGAGTGGTAAGGCTATGATCCACAGGAAAACAAATACATTTTTTTCATTTGAGGGGGGTGGGCGGTGTTAGTGTGTGAACAACAATTTCAAATGTAATATTATTAGAGTACATATAAACAGAGGCGGAGTCAGAATTTTCAATAAGGGGGTTCAAAATCTATAGAAACAGACACATGAAGTAGCCAAAGAAGGGTCGACATCTACTATATATACATATAAAATTATTTTAACCATGTATAAATAATATAATTTTTCATCGACCCCCTTCGTACAAGGTGGCTCCGCCCCTGCTTATAAAGGTGTGTTAGTGTATTTGCCACGATAAAAGTCACATTTTTGAATATGCATGTGCTTCTGAAAATGACTTATTTTCAAAAAAATATTTATCAGAAAAAAAATATTTTGTTAAAGATTGATAACAAGGTTTTAACAAATCAGATAATGTTCTGAATATCGATAATAATGTCCAAGTGTCATAAGATAAAGTAATGATTTCGAGAGGATTGTCAAAAAAAGTAACTTATGTTCAAAAATAACAAAAGTCATTTCCTTCATTTTGATGAATAATATTTCTCAAAGTTAATTAAGTACCTGGACTTCTAACAGCAATTTGCATAGCTTTTGATCTACATTGATCAGTGTTGACAGGAAGATCAATCACAATCTTTTTCTGTATATCACATAATTAATCATTAATTAGAACAAAACTATATCAAATTAAGAACAAAAAAAATACAAATTAAACTAAGAATAATTTTAAAGACTTAATTACCTTCATGTTCTTGTGAATTAATGGAACTTAATTCTGTTGGTCAAAATGATAATGAAAGGACATTTATATAGGTCAATAATTATTCTCATCTAATTTTTCTTTGACAAAGACAAATACCGTGTTTCATATATTATATTAAATATTTCGTACTACTAATTACAATTATAATATCATAATCTCTAGTAGCCATAATTACACGACTACCTCAAACTTGTACTAATTAAAAAAATTAAATCAACCCTCAATTCTTCTTAATTATATTGTTAATTTGCTGGAGGATAAAACTTAGTCATCGTCTCACCTAACGACTTATAGCCAATAATATTTACGTACATATATAAACATTAAACATACCATATAGAGAGCACTATTTTATTTTATTTTAAATAGTAACTTCAACTTTGATCGAATAAATATCTAGTCCAATTATTATTTATTGTCCTTTTTTCTATAAAATACTAGGTTTTATATTAATTATAATAATAGGTAGGTCCCAACATTCCAACAAATTGAAATTCTTAAATTAATAGCAACTAGGCATTTCTTAATTAAAAAAATCATACATATAATGTCGTGCATTTTTTTTCACCTCCTGCGCGCACGATTTTTGTTCTTGCGTAATATAATGACGTCTTTTGTATCGATTGAATTGAATGCTAGTGACGTTGGGTGTTGCACGCTCGTCTCTAATTAGTTATCATTATTCATTTTTCGAGTGTCAATTTAATTAATGTTAGAGAGTGAATAACAGATCACGCATACGCGCGGCATGCATGCGGTTAAATAGTATTTTTTAATAGAGAAAGATAAACAATAATCGTATCTCTTTACCTATTATTGAGAAATCCTGAAAAGTTAGTGGCACACAGTTAAAATTCAATGGACAATAGATTCATCCCTCTATTCATCTCCACTTAATTAATATTAGTTTTTATATGTAACATATGATTCAAGCATGTAAGGTGCGCTTAACCCCAAATCATATGCTTCGCTCTTACCGCTAAACCAGGGCAACCAATCAAACTATCTTAAGCATAGAAAGATCATTTAATAAAGGGAAAAAGTATAAATATACGCCCGAATTATCGTAAAAGGTATGAAGATATCCTCCGTCATACTTTTGGGACATTATATTGGTGCCCCTGCCGTCCTAAAACTAGAGCATATATACCCTTTATACTAACGGACATACACGTGTCATAATCTTATCCACCGACCCGATATTTATCAAATATCAAATTGACATATAAGATTGTGCCACGTATCCTCCGTTAGAGTGAAGGGCATATACACTCTAGTTTTTGAATGACAGGGGCACCAATGTCCCAAAAGTATGACGGAGGGTATCTGCATACAATTTACGATAGTTCGAGGATATATTTGTCCTTTTTCCCTTTAATAAATGATGTACCTTATAAAATTGACCAAGTAGAATTAATATAATGTAAAATTTCAAACTTCTTGATTGTTGATTAGTAAGCAGAATATCAAACATGCATGTATTTCTAAAAGTATAACCCACGGAATGAATGAGTGGGAAGAAATGAATAGTAGAAAATATTGATATTAATTAAAGGAAACCAATAAGAAAGTGAATATTGAGCTTAACTCAATCTCAAAAGTTAGCTTAAGACATACCTTGGATGAATGAGTGGGAAGAAATGAATAGCAGAAAATATTGATATTAATTAAAGGAAACCGATAAGAAAGTGGATAATGAGCTTAACTCAATCTCAAAAATTAGCTTAAGACATACCTACGGATTTTCCCAAACCATATAAGGAGAGAAATGATCAAAGCCTCGATCAATATAAGACTCAACACTTGATCTCCTCCCCCACACGTCCAATACTGAATATCTAAAATATGGACAATATAGATAAAATGTGATTAAGTTCATTCAATCAATAAACTTCTATCATAAATTTTTTCATTGAAACTCAATTTTAGAACAATATCCATAGCAAATCAGTATGTAAAGTTAAAAAATTTAAGTTCTTGTTCAAATATAATTTTACATACTGATTTGTAGTGATATTAGTGAATTGCTGTGATATTATTTGGGCCTTACAAAAATCCCATTTTCCTGGACTGGATTTTTATACTTTCCCAGCAATTCATTTTGGACCAACCCATGTAGTATTATTTTATCTTAAACAATATTCTTTGAAAGTTGAAACTAATCTCATGATTCAAATAAATTTCAAACTTGTAAGAAAATATAACAAAAACAAAGCAGTAACATAATATTTTCTTTCTTTCAATTTATTTGTCTGATTTTAACTTAACACAAAATTTAAGAAATTAAAGAAATCTTAAACTAAAGATATGTATAATGTACTGAAATGTCCTTTAATCTTGTAATCTTAAACATATTACGTGGAAAATTGAAACTCAAAAGTTATAAAAAGAAATGTTCTTTACGAAACACACCACTTAAAAATCTATAGGAAGAAAAAAAAGATACAAATTTTATAAATATTCAATCCAAGTCAAAGATCTAGAAAAGCAAGACTTGGGAGATGGACTACATTAAAAGGAAAATATTTTTATGTATTTGTCTACTCCTATTTAAATAAATATGATAAAATAAAGAGAGAGAAAAAAACAATCTTATTGATGCCACAGGCCAACAGAAAAATATTACTCATTATTTAGATATTCGACAAATTGGCTTTTAATTTAAATATCAGTTTATATTTTAGGTGAGATACACCCTATGATTAATTATATTTCAGTTTGGGATTTAGTGATAAGTCAAGTTAATTTCACTTTAAATTTGTAATAGATTTTAAACGGTACTTATCAGGTTTAATCTAGTGATTCAACTTGAGCACAAACAATTAACAAATGTTATGCGGTTGGGGAGGCTATTAAAATAGCCTATCTATCTTTATGGGTTGGGGTAAGGTCTACTGTCTATGTCAAAATTTTATTTATGAAATTACGTAGTGTATGTTATGGATTTGTGGTTATTGTTATCTGGTTTGTGAGGTGAAAATCTAATTTGCTTGCACTTATAGAGGTCTAAATTTCAGTTATTCAGATGTAATTCATTAAATTCGTTCACTTTTTAAGTTAAAATCTTAATCATTCTGCTTCTCATCATTATCAATTACCATCATCCTCAACTACAACGACCATCATATCGTCAATCACCTCAAACAATAATCACCATCACCGACTACCATTAACAATCATTACTGCAATTTACTACAATTGTAACCAATTACTATAAACAATCAACGTCATCAATCACTATGGTATACTCCTCAGTTATCATTATTATAACTGAATTCACCACAATTATCAGTACTCACCAATAAAGTATAAAAATAAAAACTCCATAAGCAAGGAAAAAGTAAAAAAGAGAAACAACATAATTCCACCACGCCAAATTAATTATTACATAATAACATATTTAATAATACAATACAATAAATTAAAATTGTTTTTTTACATAGTGGTGCAATTTGGAGTAGGAGAATCATAAACGGGTCGGCATACTGGATAATACTGCACACATGGGTTTGGATAGCAAATCGGTTGCGGTTTCGGGTCGGGTTTCTTTTCGGGTTTCACTTCTTCTACGCTCACAATGCGAGCGCAGTTGAATTTTTTCTTTATACATTTCATCAATTTAAAAAAATCGACACCAATTCCAATTACCACCAAATGCCCTTTTTCTTTATCTGAATTCACCGATAGTACCCCTACAAATGCATCAAACGCAAATTTAGAATTTCATAAAAATGCATGTTCACTATTATAAAAAGACGTATTTAGAAATTAAATTTATCAGGTGCACACATATATATACTTAAGATTAAGTGAATACATATAATGTTATTATACATGATTACACGTGAACCAACACCTCTCCCTTAAATACGCCTCAAATCAATTTCCCATAAAAGGCAGGTTTGATACGATAAAAATCATTTTTTTCGTAAAGGAAAAAATTGGTATAAATACCTGCACATTTTACAGCAATTTGCATAGCCTTTGATAAACGATTATCAGTGCTGAGAGTTATATCGATCACAATCTTTTCCTATATATATAAACATTAATTAGAAAAAATTAAAACAAGAAGAATTAAAAAAAAGTTGTAATTAAGGAATAGATAATAATTACCTTCATGTTATGAAATTGAGCTAATTTATGGTACTCAAAAGATGATTATGAAGGATTTTTATAAATATTGAGCCTGCATATAAGTCTATATATATAGGTGATTATAATTGCCATACAAATTACCCTCATGTTCATATATTATATAGTATAGTACTACTTACTATTTTATTTTATTTTATCCCTTCAAAGAATAGTAATAATAAAAATACTATGAATACTACTACTTAATTTTTTTAATACCACTAACAACAATTAGAAGCCATAGTAATATAAATACCACAAACTACAACGCATATAAAAAACTAAATCAACTCCCAAGTCTTCTTAATTGAGTTGTTAATTTGCTGCCACTAGAGACAATTAGGATATAAAATATTGAGAAAAGAAAAGATCAAATTAGTAATTAGAGTCCGAAAGTAGGTAGGGTCGAGGAGTTCATCCAAACCTTTTTTAGTAGAAAATTACACTGTTTATACATGATTAAAATTATTTTTATGTATATATAATATATGTTGAAATCCTTTCGAAATTCAAATTCTTTATATTTTAAATCTTTTAGTAAAAATTCTAAATCCATCACTCGTGAGAGTTTATTGTTTTTTGATTCAAACTATTTGGTTTGGAATCTTTGTGTTGCCTAAGAAGATCATTTATGTATTAAGACTATTTGTGGAAGATTCTTATGAACTGAACTATCTAAAAAGGCTTTGTTGGCTTGTGATAAGATATATGCTAACCAAAATAAGTGAAAGATCCAAATTATATAGTAGATATATTTGTTAGGATACTTGGAACAAGGTTATTATTGGTAAACATGATGGACTAAATAGAGTATTCCGAGTGCAAATTTAGTAACGTGACACATAAAACAGAGATGAAAGTATCGAAGATCGATGTAGAAGTCATATCCAAAGAAGAACAATTCAAATATCCTGTGAGTCCATAAACTAAGAAGATGGAAAGATCGATGAAATTAAAATGTTGTACATCGTATTGAATGTCTCCTCATCCTCGACATAAGGGAGAGATGTTGTGAAGGTAGAGATGTTATTTCGGGAATACAGTAGTGAAGAAAGCATACTAAAAATAATAGAGAAAAGAATAATAGCAACAACAAATAATACAATAACGAAAGCAAAGAAAACCACAAGTACAAATTTTATTCGAAGAATAAGATAATAGAACAGTAATATTAATACTAAAGTTGATAAGAAAAACTAAACAACGCTCGATCATCTACTAATCTTCGATTTCCATATCCTCTTATCTAAGTATAACGTCAATATTCATAATTAAAGGAGGAATTTGATTTTTAATAAATTAAAATTAAGGAGGTAAATCGTTTTCATCAACTAAGATATGAAACTTCATTAGTCGTTGTCTTACCTAATGATTTATAAACCAATAGTAATATTTCGATAAACCACATAGAGAAAAATAATAATTATAGAAACTTTCAACTTTGATATATGATATATATAATATCCACTTGTTCGATTATTATATATTGTACTTGTTTTTTAAAAATAATACTAGGTTTATGTACTAGGATGGTCCCAACATCCCAAACAACTTGGGCTCCTATATAGAAGACCAAATCACAATGCAACTCTTAAATCATAATTATGGCCTTATGGGTGTGCTTGGTATTGGTAGAACATTTATTTGAAAATATTTTTCAAATTTTTGGCTGGTTAAAATATATATTTTTTTAAAATAAGTTGATTAAAAATAGAGAGAAGGTGAGAATTAGAAAACCAAGCATCATAAATGACAGTTCACGCTAATTGTTTCTTCCCTTACCCCCACACCATTCAAAGGGTCAGTGGCACAGAATTTGTAACTCGATGAATAATGAACTCACCCATCTATTAAATCCGTGACGTACAACTAACTCACACATCACTTGTTGCACTCTTATCACTCAACCAAACCCCTCAGGGACACTATCTTAAACAACGAAGAATCATTCAACACATAATGTCTATACCACATAAAATTGCAGTAAGTATAGTATAAATCAACAAAGTACATATTAGGTTATAACAATTGACAAAGCAAAATGAAAAATCTTAAACTATTCATTCTCGACTGTTGATTTACAGCTTGATTAGATGGTTGTTACATATCGTTTCATAATATATCGTATCGTATTGTATTGCACTGTAACAACCATCCAAACAATAGATAAGCAAAATATCGAACATATTGTATTTGTTTAAGTATAACTCAAATCTTGGTTAAAGTACATAGACCCGTGGCCACTTGAGCTTTCTTGGCAATACACAATAAGTAGTACGACAACAACAACAAACTCAGTGTAATTTTATAGGTGGGTCCGAGGAGCGTAGAGTGTACGGACACCTTACCCTTACCTTTGAGAAGGTAGAGAGGTTGTTTCCGATAAACCCTCGACAACACACAAGTAGTACTAAACACAATTAGAATGTATTAGAACACAAAATACTAAGGGGTCGTTTGGTTTGAATACAAGTTATGATGTGATTAGTTATGATGAAATAAGTTATGATGGGAGAAGTTAGGATGAGATAAGTGCTGAGATTATTTCTTATTGACCGTTTGATTGGTTGCTTTCAATACAATATGCATTACCTAAATTCTAAGAATAAGTTGTTTGTTTACGAAAATACCCTTCAATTTATTTAGTTTTTTTTATATATATTTTCTTTTCAAGTAGTAGTTATTTATTCTTAAAAATAATTTTTTTGTCTTATTTAGCTTAAATATTTTTGTGTGTGCATTTCCATAATTGTACCAATTGTATTTAAGAATAAAATTTTCATCTAAATTTGTTAAAGTACAAAATGATTTATTATTTATGTTACTTCATTTAAACACGTATCATTCTTAAATGTAAAATACTAAAGTTATCTTCATTTTTAAATCATCTTTCATGTTACTATTTCCTTCAAAATTTATGTGAACTAACAATAGAATTCTTCCCGAAATTAGCGTACATGAGATGAAAAGAAGATTAAAAAATAAAAAATACACAAAAGATCTAGCTAAAAAGAATACCAATATAAACTAATTTTAGATAAAACTGCACGGGAAGCTTGTATTTAGTACCGCAGCATTTCGTTTTATCTCACATTTTAATTGATATATAAAATATAAATTTTCAAGTGGCTAAAAGAATATACAATTAAAAATATGTAATTCGATAGTAAGGAAATTAAATTAAAATATAAATAAACATAAGAATTAGTCAAATAAATTCACAAATAAAATTATATTTATATAGTGTAATTTTTTTTTAAAATATGAAGAATTATTATAATAAAAATAAGGAGTAGTGAAGGTCATAACTATTATTATACATGATATTTAAAATAATATATGATTTTACATGGATATAAAAAATTAGGTATAAAAAGAGTTTAAAGGGACACTTTTGTCATTTTATCTTATACCGGGATAAGTTATCCCGGTATTACTATTCCACCCAGAGATAGGGATAACTTATCCCAGAACTAATTATTAATCTTGGGATAAGTTATCCCATGATGTGCAACCAAACAGAGGATTAAAGGATGCTCAAAATTTATCCCGGAATTAACTCCCTTTATCCATCACACCAAACGACCCTAAAAGTAGCAACTTAGTATCAAGCATATATAGTAAAATATCAAATTTCAAGAGCATTTCAAGCTTTGTTGCACATAATTCAACCTTTATCAAACAAGCTCTTCAGAATATTCATTTGTGATTAAGATCTTTCAGCATAATTAAGAGAGACATTTATTTTGGCACTCCCAAGTAAGGAGTAGTTAATTAACAACTACTACTTGCATAAGCATATCTAGTTATTCACATAATTTATAGGTAATGTCCCATACCATGTTGCTCAATCAGCCTTCGATGAATCTCTGTTGTAACTTCTGAATTCTTGACCGGCTCCAACAATGAAGCCCTTCCAAAGCTTCCAAGTAATCTCCAGGGGGCCTCCCGGTCTCGTCCCTGAATATCACAGCACCATGATCTAGAGCTCGACGAACTGAAACTTCAACATTAGTGTCCACTCTTCCAAATGTTTCTTCAATATAACTGAAATACAGCTTAAAGATCCTGAAAAGTTCACTTATGGGGTCATGCCTTGCAGGTAAACCAACATGACTTGGAAAACCATTCATGTCATTCACATAAGATGGACGGAATGAGTAAATTGGAGGACTTATGGAGTTGGGAACTTTTTGAAAGTTCTGATATGCGTAACTTGGAAAACCGTTCATGCCATTGATGACACAAGTTGGAGAATTTCTACTGTCAATCCAACTTTGTTGCTGTTGGTAGGAGTAAATCGGAGGACTTATGGAGTTGGGAACTTTTTGAAAGTTCTGATATGCATAACTTGGAAAACCGTTCATGCCATTGATGACACAAGTTGGAGAATTTCTACTGTCAATCCAACTTAGTGGCTGTTGGAAGGAGTAAATCGAAGGACTTATGGAGTTGGGAATGTTTTGTAGATTCTGAGATGGCGCATGTAAAAAGTGTTTCTTGTGTTTTGTTCTTGGCACATTCTTAGGAGATGGGTTGGGTATAAACTTGAAGGTATTGCACTCACCCAAATGAAAAGGCTCATCACATTTTGAACCAGCTCCTCTTTTATTGTTGTAACCAGGGTAATTTTCAATCTTGAAATCAGCACATTCGATACACATCAAGGAGTTTCCTGATCCAAGTCCAACAAGATCCCAACGGCCGTATGGAAGACACGTTTTATGTGTTACATGAATTTGACCATCAACTCGCAACATTTTCTTGGCACTCTCAAAAAAACGTCCCACAAGATTCTGATGCATTCTGCACAAAGACAAAAAGGCACACAATACATTGAGAAAATGCAAAATCCAGTGGAAAAAAAAAAGGCAATTAAGAAACTAGCCTAGAGGATAAAAGCCAATACTTTCAGCATACGGAATTTTTTCCCTTCCCAGTGCGATCAAAATTGGCCTGAATGAGCCCAAAAAGAATGGTCATAAAGAGATGGTCCCAACTAACAAGGTGTTTGGCCTCTCTGTTGATGAAAACACTTTACAATATTTGCTTGCTTGGATTGAAGAAAACAACTTTGTCTTTTAAGGGTACAAGTCCTCTACAAGCTCTAACTCATTGCCGTGAATCTTCACCATCGATATCCGAAACATACTACTCCATCCATTCCTACCCTCATCCACAATGGTACACCACACTCATTGTTTGTTACAAAACTGTCAAAAATGTATATTTGGTTTGGGTGCAGAGTAGAGGCACTAATTTAAAACCTAAATGCAACTCTATCCCTCCACCTTTTACTCGTTTTCTTCAAGGGTGATGTCAATGCAACTCGACTCTTTTACCTTGTGGTTAGGTGATTCTAACCACCAACACTTGGGAAATGAGAAGAAAATACCTAAGCCTTTTGTCTCTTCAAGAGTTTGAATCATGGTCTCCCACAGTTTTCATCCACTTTATTGATCGCTAGGCTACAAACTCCACCTTCTACTCTTATACATGCTACCTTCCTCTAACACGAAAATAATTTGAAAATGTATATTTCATTTCAACAATCCCACGGAAAAATGTTGCATACATCCAGGACGCGAAACTAGAGGGGTGTAAGGGGTACATCCGAACCTCATTCCCCATGTTAAACATCCTTTTTGTGTATATCACACCATATATACAAGGTTAAAAATCTTTTTATGTATATACATGAACCCTACAACAACAACAAACCCAATGCAATCCCACAAGTGGGTCTGAACAGAGTAGTGTATACACAAGCCTTACCCCTAACTTGACAAGTTACCGAGTCTATTTCCGATAAACCCTCGCACAATAACTATATACATAAACCCCATTTGTGTGATGACACTGCATACATCATACAAGCAGAATTTAAACAGCATAACACAAAAAGAGGGAACCTTACTGTATAAGATGATCACTATCCTCAGTGCCATGAAACCCTGCATGAGGAAAATTATAGATAATCCGATCAAACTTCCGGTTACTAAGATCAGAATGAAGCTGTATTTTAGTTGCATCCACACCGTGCAACACAGTTCCTCCCAAAGATTTCAACTTTTCCAAGTTCGATTTCCCATTCTTGTACATTTTGATCACTTCAACTACACACAACAACAAAAAAGGGCAAAAAAATTAAACTCCGCGAAAACCCCATCACAGATTAAGCAAAATAAACACAACCCAGAAAGGAAATAGTGTAAAAAACAGTTACCATATGATTGTAAAGACGAAGCAACAATGTTCGAAGCAGAACCAAAAACCTGAGCTAAACAGAGAGAAAAAGAAAAATCTCCATCACCCACTAAGAGTATTTGATGATATGAAGAGTAATGTTGAATAATTTTCTCTTCTTCTTCGTCTTCGTCTTCTTCATTGATCACTTTTGGGTTTTCTTCTACTTCCGCCATAGCTAGTGCAGTTTCTTTTTCTTTTTGATTCTACTCTGTTTATGTAGACAAAAAAGAGAAAAAGAAAAATTGAATTTGGGTAAAAAGGGCTGAAGTTGAGTGTAATTACGGATTTGACATTAAAATTTAACGGGTTATATGAGTTTTGCTTCTTGTGGTATCAATGGGTAAAATGGGAATCACAGGATTTTTGGTGTACGATCCAATGATCGTGTCTGTCTTTTAAGCTTGTCTTGGAAGGAAAATAAATAGTACTATGAAATTTTCAATTATTTGATTTGATTGATGGAATTAAGATATTAAATTGATTTTTGTTGTTCACTGTGATTTTTATTTTTACAAGTATGAAATTGAAAAATAAAATATTTGTAGTGTTATTTTTCTTATTCAAATTGTATAAGGTTGTGTTGAATCATTTTGTGTTAGAGGTCTCGAATTTTAAAAATTATATGATATCATCTTCGTTTTCTTTGCGTCAAAATCTAGTTTTAAAGAGTTTAGTTAAAGCCTTCAAATTAAAAGGAGCATGTGATAATAACTTATTTTCTTCTTTTCTTCAAATTAAATTTGAAGGCTTATATCGAACCATTTCTAGCTAGAGGAGTCATATGTTATTAATGTCGGTCTTCTTTTCATCAAAATCAAATTTCAAAGAGTTATAGTGAAATATTTCTAGCTAAAGCCTTCAAACAAAAAAGGATCATGTGATATTAACTTTGATTTCTTTTCGTCATACCAAATTTTGAAGAGTTATATAGAAACATTTTTTTCTAAAGCATTCGAATTAAAAAGAGCATATGGTACTAATTTTGATGTCAATGCTATTTTTAAATTTTTCTTTCCATTTCTTCATGTATTCACTTGAATGAGTGATACAGTTTAAATTTTAAAAGTTCAAATCAAATTACTTAACAAACATTCTAATTATAGTTACCAGATATAGATTTTTTTAGATAAGAAATTCCCTAACTTTGGTAAAATAAAATCTCATATCCCATAAATTTTGGCACCTTGAAATATCACAACGTTCACTTTCAATGTGTAACTCTTTCTAAGTTCTCCTTTTAATATTTTGTATCTCTATTTTATGTATGACGTAACTGTATAAGTCAAGTATATATTAAACTTTGTTTACTGTATATATACAACATCATATTGTATGAGGGGAAGCAGATATTTTGGGCTTTGCAACTTGGCCCAAGTGTGACTGGCCCAATAGTAATGTGGGATTTTGTTGCTAAAATGTCCTCTTTTTTGGTTGTTATTTAAGTTCTGTCCAAAATTTTAAAGTAGTACAAATATAGCCCTTGTAACTGACAAAAATACTAGTATGTGATAATCTTAAATAATGCAGTGCATAAAATATTTCGTATTTACACAAGGTTAGGAGAAGGGCCGCACCTTAAGGGATGTGATTTATACAATCTAACATAAAAAAAACATTAGTGGTTACTTTCACGACTCAACATGTGACTAATCGGTCACACGAAAATACTTTTACCGTTACTATAGACTCCCCTTCAGATCACATCAATTGTAATCTTACATTTATTAAATTTTTGACCGTAATCTAATATTTTATCATTTGATTTAGACCATGAAAAATCAATAATCTTGTGGGCTTCAACTCGAACCCATGACTTATTGTTATGCTTTTTAGAAACAATAAAAGCAGCCACTTAACAATAATTTTTCTTTGTTTAATCATATAAGAATAATGATTTTTTTCTTAACTACATAGTTTTCTGACTTTCTCAGCCACTTAACAGTAATTTTTTCTTTGTTTAATCTTTATAAGTATAATGATTTTTTTCTTAACCACATAGTTTTCTGACTTTCTTTCTACTTTCTTAGTGTGCAAGTATTATCAAATAAAAAAGGCAACTTATGCTGCAGAATTGCAATATTTTTTGTCTACCAATACAATCCAACTGTTCTCCATTTGACAGGTCAATGCTCTGCAAATTAGTAGAATTTCAAGAGAAAAAAAAAGTGTAAAGTGCAACTAAGACCACCCAAAACAAAAGTTGGGTGTAACCATGGTCCACACGAGTGTGTGATTTAATGATCAATGAAATAAATTATTTTATATTTTATAATTTTTTAAATTACAATCTAAAAAGTCTCTTTTTGAACAGATTAATATTTTTACGAAAATCATTAGTCTATAATATAAAATTTTGTATATTATTACAAATGTCAAATGACTGTTTGTGTTTTCTGAACAATATTTGAGCAAATATTAGATCTGAATCTTATGTTGCATGGAATGATAATTTTCCAAAGGCTATATTTCCACAACTTTATAAATAGGGATAAAATCTTAACAATGACCTAAAAAGGGCACATTTGCATAATTCAAGCAACTTTAAAGGTTCTAGCAAACATTAGATAATCTTGTGTGCCTAAATCTCGATAGACAGAGTTATTCAGTACATGTACCTCATGGAATATAGCATGAGTCGAAAAATAACAATTGAGGCACGCACAAACGGAACCGGAAAAAACAAAAGTTATAGAGCCCTGTGGTGGCCTGGGTGGGGCACTCGCTTTAGTGTTTTTTTTTTTCTGAATAAATACAGTGATTCAACTATGGAAAAAAAAAGCAACATAAACAATTCAAATCAAAACATCTATCTCCCAACTTTAGTTCCTACTCACATTACACCTTTATCATATACTATTATTAAATATTAAAAACAACCAAAAAAGTTTCTTTCCCTTTTACTTTCCTTAATCCAATTCCAAACTCCATTATTAGTATCATTATCTTATAATAAATAGATCCAACATTCATTTGTTCATCTTTCCTTTCATAATTCATTAAGCCAATATGACTTCCTCAGAGAGCTTAAGTTTCTTTTCTCCTGAATATAGTACACCTAAAATGTTTCCTCTAACACCATCACCAACACCAGCACCAACTCATAAACGTGGCGGTCCATCGCCTATGAGCCAAATCATCATGGCAAAACAAGCCCTCAATCAACCTTTGACACCAGAAATGTCACATGAAATCAAGAATAAACCAATAGTACAATATGTTGTGCCACGACAACGTAGACGTACAAATCCTGCAGTGTGGTGTGCTGCAATACTATGCATGATGTTCTGCCTACTACTAATATTATTTGGTATTGGAACTTTAGTCATTTTTCTATCTATCAAACCAAGAAATCCAGTGTTTGATACATCAAATGCAAGCCTAAGTGTCATATACTTAGACTCACCTAAGTATATGAATGGTGACTTCACATTTATAGCAAATTTCACCAATCCAAACAAGAAACTTGATGTGAGATTTGAGCATTTGGTCATTGAACTTTTTTTCTCAGATAGCTTAATAGCAACACAAGTTCTTCAACCTTTCAGTCAGAGGCAACGCGAAACACGATTAATACAAGTTCACATGATATCTAGCTTGGTTTATTTGCCACCAATTTCAGCCTTCAAGCTACAAAAACAGGTACTTAGCAACAGAGTTGTGTATAACATCAGAGGAACTTTTAAGGTCAGAGTGAATATTGGCCTAATTCATTACTCTTATTGGTTACATGGGAGATGTCAATTAGAGATGACAAGTCCACCTACTGGTGCTCTTATTACACATAGTTGTAGAACAAAGAGGTGAAGAAAATTGTATATTGCATACTTTAGTACAGCAGTTTGATTTGATTTTCCAGATTCCTTCTATTATGTCAAGTACAAAAACTATGTTTCTCAATGCCAAGCAAGTTGAGATCGGCAATATAAATTCTCATTTTTTTCTATATTCAAGATTAGAGGAAACTTAGTTGTTTAGCACTAGAAGTTTCCTACAGTATAGTTCAATAATTGAAAGGTAAAAGGTTGGATCAATTAGACAATTGTCTCTTTTTCTTTAGGTTTGCCACAGGAAACTTCCCACCCACCCACCCACCTTCCTGCCTCCCCTTCCCCCAGAAGGGGTTTGTGAAGTTGGTAATAGTGGTGTTCGAGTCAGGTTGTACACACTTGACTATTCCACCGAGTACCTGCTACCTCCTTACAAGACTTAAACAGATGGGAAGAAATCATCAATTGTTTTCTGAAGGAGTTTGTAGAGTTGGTAATTGGGATTCTAGTTCTATATTTCTCAAGCCATGACATCTTCATGTGTCGGATACTCAAAAAATGCACTACTTTTGGAGGATCTGATATGTACCCTCATTTTTGAAGAGTCCAAGCAACATAGTATGAGGCACTTTTATTGATACCTCTTTAGTATTTTGCTTTAAGGTTGCTATATATTTTTCTACAAAATGGCAGCCAGCTAACAAATGGAATATATTAAATCATCTCTGGTGGTTCAAAAGTAGCTGAGATAGCAAAGAAGGACATACAAGAAGCACCTAAGTAGTTACACAAATCACTTTTTCTTTTATACCTTTCTATTTCAATAATAAGTAGAAATAATTGCTCTATTCACAAATCTCTTGGACCTTGCCTGTCCCTTCGGGGAAATCTGATAAAATTGGAACGATACAAAGAAGATTAGCATGGCTCATGTGCAAGGATGACATGCACAAATCGAGAAATGGTCTTGGACCTAGCCTCAAACAAGACTTACAAAGGGGTAGATCAGTGCAAATATGTAGACAAAGTGATGCAGTCTGCATAACAGAACCTCTGCACTATCAAGAATGATTGACAGCAAATTTACAATGTCGTTGTAACTGAAATGGGATGACAAAAAAATGTCACAGAAGGCCTTGAAAGTTGCTACTATGTGTGCCTTATATAAGCAGTCACACTAGCTAGTAGCAATGGCAACAAAGAATATATATGTGATCAAAATTTCTCATGGAACTTCCACGAGTATTATGGACAATGCGGAGAAAATATGCAAAAGTGATGAAGATCTTTAGCACTACCAACAATGTTGAATGAATCTACCGCCATTGGAAAATGGTAGGTCAACAATGTTGATCTTTAGCAATACCAACAATGTTGAATGTTATGGATTTGTGATTGTTGTTATCTGG